ACTTCCAACTCTGTAGGACACAAGAACCTGTTCTTGTGACTTTCTCAGTCTGTCATCATAGAACTAACTCCTGCTACATTTCTTAAGGGAAGAAATTAAAATTACTGAGTAAACACTGAAGCCCCGCGCCTCCCCCCCAGACCTCACCCTTCCAACAGCTCAAAATTCTGCATTGTTACCGGTACTCAGCCCCATTCTTCCACCAGTCTGAAGCAAAATAAAGGAATTACATGACCTGAACATTCATCTCTTCAGCCCTTCTGAGTACTCACTGTGTGTCAAGCACTGTACTAAACACTAGAAATACAACAACCAGCAGGAAAAATACCATGCCTAATCTCCATTTTAGGAAAATATTCTGTTTGGTGTATATACCAAGGGCTCAAAGCCACTTATAATTATTCATAATCACTTGACTGTCCACCTGAAAAGGAAACTACATAAACCACATGGAAAGCTCACAGATCAAATCCTTTCTAACTGGAAGCCTCGCACAGGAGAACCATCACCAAGTGAGCGCCTTCTAACCTATGCACAGGAAGCATGGTATTAAGCCCTAAAACATGAATAAAGATTTTTCTTTTCAAAGTAGAATACCTTAGCTTTAAATGTTTAACTGTCAATGGTCAGGCTTAAACATACGCAAATCCTCACGTGCTTTGTCTATTTCCATTTAAATTGGGTAGAAATGCAGTTCCAATGTCATGTGGGAACATTTGAAGTGCTCAAAAGCCTCAAGTGGCAAGGGGCTATCACTTGTAAATAATGATGATGTCCTTTTACCTCCAGAAGCTTCATGGGACAGTGCCACTCTCCAAGTACCTGCGTAATAGTAACCCTGAAAATCACATGTAACAAAACATGAAGCACCTGTACTCGGCTGTAGTGCCTAAAATTATGTCCATCGGTTACATAATGCCATTTCTTCCCTCCCAGATAAGCTGAAAGCGATCACGTTGAGCATCTCTAATGTTGAGGTAACCCAGAAAATGCACACCGTGCAACGTGGAGAATTAGAAGCTGAAAAAGAAGTAAACTGACCACATTCCTGCCTATTCCTTTTACAGGGGTGTGTTGCAAAGCGTCTGTACCAGGAGAAAGTTTAACCTGGTAGCTAAGGTTGAGAACAGTTCAGGATAAAGATACAGCAACACAAGCACAATGTAACTCAAAGCTCAATTTGGACCAACGCAATGAGCTCCAATGCCCACTGTGTGCCAGTGACACACACGAATCACCAGTCCCATTTTTGACCAGCTCAGTTTACTAGGAGTGTCTAACATGTAAACCAACTTAATGTGATGCCTAATGATAAATGGCAGGAAGACAGGTAATGACAAGATGCAGAAGTCACCAAAGGAGGGTATTTGTGAAAGTTTTCTCTAGGGCAATTTCCTGAAGGAGGTATCCAAGAAGCAGAGAGCAACCTAGACAGAGCTTTGCAAAGGGACTGCGCCTGGTTTGGCAATACTGGAAGAAACAGGGATGGGGATGCAAATGGCAGGTGAAAATGAGGGAGAGAGGTCACAGACTGGGTTAGTAAGGTTTGCATCAACGGGGCCACAAACCCTCCTCACCAAAACTACAAGTGAGGGGAAAGGCAAATCCCTGAAGCTTGGTAAAATCTATGTCTCCTTTCAACACTGAGCATACAACAAATAATAGGAATACAGAGAAAACGGTGACACTGTACCATTTAATATTTATTGGTCACAGAAATACTGTAATTGGAATCAAAAATCTGTTTCCTCTGAGTTTTATATGAAGAGTCTAAGAGAAGGTTTCACTATACACAGTTTCAAAACAAATGGATCACCACCAAGTCTAACTATTCCCACTAAGAGTTTACCTGAACAGGTGAACAGGTGAATTAAAGGGTGAGGAAAGCTGTAAAAACAAAGCCTCTGTACCCCAGACCAGAGTAGGGTTTTTTTTTCCCCTCCAAAACTTGTTTTTCAGATCTTTTGCAACTCCCTATAATGCCTTGCGCTTCCGGCTTTATGGCCCAAATGACCACCAAAACTGCACCCTGTCCAGCAACTTCCATAATTTCTATGGCTGCGTCTACAAATCCTTGGGAAATAATCCGCATCCCTCTTCTTCACTTAACACTGTTCAACTTTCATTTGACACCATGAGCAGAAAGAAAAGGCCAGAGGAATCTGTTCAAGTTACTGGGATTCCCCTCTTCACGAAAAATGTACTGAAAATGTTCAGTGGTCTATATAGGTCATAACAAATTCACCAAGTAATAATCCTCCCTCTGGTACAAGCAAACCTTCCCAGGTAACATACACAACGCATATACACCGCCTGGCTCTACACGAACAACGAGTATTCACACATCTGTGACCCTCAGGTAAAGGGAGTTTCAACAAGACACAAATTGTAATGGTTCAAAGGACAGATTCTCCAGTCGGCCTCCCTGGGTACTAGCATGGGATCATCGCTGATCAATTCTTAATCTCGAGCTCCAATTTCCCCAACAGTAAAATAAGGAAAACAACCAAGCTCCTCAGTGTCCACCTAACCACAGTGCCTGGTAGGCAGCAATGGCACGGAAGGACAGATCAATACCTGTCGGCTACTTCAGCTTTTTTCTTACTATTTCTTACTATTTCAGCTTCAAAATAGGTGAGTCTACCACCATTATTCCAGCAGACTGGGTATCTTTGGGAGTTCTCACCCCTCGCTACGCACTAAAAATACTGGAGGTTTAAAAAAAAAAAAGAAAGTCCACGCCATATTTGGGTTTAGGTTCACCAGCTCTGGCACTAAGCGGAGTTGCTTCCAAAGCTGGTACACTGTGCAGTCGGGACTAAGAACCACGTACAGGTCTCCCTATGCCCACGGGGATACTCACACCGCAAGTTGCGTCGCTCCCTGCGCGAATGTGCGAAGGGCGCCCTCTCCCAGCCTCCCCCAGCACACGGACGAGGCTCGCCTCGATGCTGTGACGCCGCACGCAAAAGTGCGGGGGGATTTGCTCCCACGCACGCCTACCCCGCACCCAAGATCAAGCGCCACCAAGCCCACCTGCCACGGACTGGATAGCCGGCGCCACCAGGCTGGGGCTG